TAGTAGTAGTAGTAGTAGTAGTAGTAGTAGTAGTAGTAGTAGTAGTAGTAGTAGTAGTAGTAGTAGTAGTAGTAGTAGTAGTAGTAGTCGCCGTGCCCCAGATCTCCGACGACGAATCCCAAACCGGCGCCCTCGCTTAAAACCGGCCCCGGGGAAGGTGCCCAGAGGAGCCCAGAGCGGCCTCCGGCACCGTTTCCGGACAGATCCGGTGGATCCGGCGGATCCGCCGACGAATCCCAAACCGGCGCCCTCGCTCGAGACATCCTCACAAAACCGGCCCCGGGGGAGGTGCCCAGAGGAGCCCAGAGCGGCCTCCGGCACCGTTTCCGGACAGATCCCGTGGATCCGGTGGATCCGCCGACGAATCCCAAACCGGCGCCCTCGCTTGAGACATCCTCACAAAACCGGCCCCGGGGGAGGTGCCCAGAGGAGCCCAGAGCGGCCTCCGGCACCGTTTCCGGACAGATCCGGTGGATCCGGTGATCCGACGAATCCCAAACCGGCGCCCTCGCTTGAGACATCCTCACAAAACCGGCCCCGGGGGAGGTGCCCAGAGGAGCCCAGAGCGGCCTCCGGCACCGTTTCCGGACAGATCCGGTGGATCCGGTGGATCCGCCGACGAATCCCGAACCGGCGCTCTCGCTTGAGACATCCTCACAAAACCGGCCCCGGGGGAGGTGCCCAGAGGAGCCCAGAGCGGCCTCCGGCACCGTTTCCGGACAGATCCGCTGGATCCGCCGACGAATCCCAAACCGGCGCCCTCGCTTGAGACATCCTCACAAAACCGGCCCCGGGGGAGGTGCCCAGAGGAGCCCAGAGCGGCCTCCGGCACCGTTTCCGGACAGATCCGCTGGATCCGCCGACGAATCCCAAACCGGCGCCCTCGCTTGAGACATCCTCACAAAACCGGCCCCGGGGGAGGTGCCCAGAGGAGCCCAGAGCGGCCTCCGGCACCGTTTCCGGACAGATCCGGACAGATCCGGTGGATCCGCGCCCCGGGGGAGGTGCCCAGAGGAGGAATGAGGAGGAGGAGGAGGAGGAGGAGGAGGAGGAGGAGGAGGAGAAGATGATGGAGCTGTGGGGTGGAGGAGGACAGACGGAGGCAAGAGAAGGATGGAGGAGGAGGAGGAGGAGGAGGAGGAGGAGGAGGAGGAGGAACCTCATCCTCACCCTCGCCAACAGGCGCACGCACCTTCTTCTATATACAGAAACTCCCGATCAACCGCAGAGCGGCCGGCTAGTCTATATGACGCAAGTGGTATCGCCCCCCCCCGGCTCAGGGGCGGCCTACTTTCAATGTTCTCTCTCGCACACACACACACACACCAGTAACCAAATTGAGCCCC